ACTCTGGATTCACATTATCAATTGCTTTTTGAAAAGAGATCACTCTGTTATCTGGGCGGAATGTTCATTCCAGGGGAGCAAGAAAGAATACAGGACACTGGTGAGGAAATCATGAGGTGGGTCTGGCAGAGAAATAACTGTACCTTGAATTGGAATGGTTTTAGGAGAGACGGAGAAAAGAAGATGGATTTGAGAAACTCAGGATACAAGGCCAAATGGATTCAGGGATAGGTTAGCTGAGCTTGCGCAGAAGAAAGCACTGACAAAGGTGGCCCGGGAGGGACCACGGCTTGTGCAAGTGGATGAGTGGTGACATCATCACTGAGGTAAACTCGAGGGAAGAGCAGGTCTTCGTCCCTTTGAGGAAGGAAGGCTGGCGATGGGAAGACCAGGGGTTTGGTTTGGACAATCTGAGTTCAGGTTGCCTGTGAGGTGCTCAAGTCGCAGTTGCCAAGAAGGAAGTTGGACAAATGGGCCTGGAAGTCAGAGCAGGGGTCCAAACAGGAGCTGTAATTCGAGGGACGCAGAACTGGGCAGCGCCAGAACCTCTGGGCACGGCAGAGGTGGCTTGAGGTGGGAGGATCACTGAAACCTCATCTCCAAGATTAGAGTTTGAGGAAGGGATATTTAATAGCAGACATTTACTGCAAACAGTATATAGCTAGCTTGTATTATTTTGAGTCAATTTCAAAGCCTTTACCTTTACATTTGGAATTTTAAAATTTTCTTTGCTTTAAATTTTTCATTGTTTCAGTGATTGATGTTTCCTTGCTTTGTCTTTCTCCTTTTTTATTTTTTGTGTACCATGAACCAATTTCTTTCCTTCCTTTCCCTCCTTCCCTTCCTTCCCTCCAGTTTAGAATTTATAGTTACTGCACTATTATATATAACTGTCATTATATATGCTTAATTACATCATTGACTGATTTTGAATCTGATCTATGTTTATGATACAACTTCTCTTCCTAAACTATTTAATTCTTTTATCAATTGAGTGGAGTTTGACTTAAGGCGCATTATTTTTCAAGTAAGAAAAATGTCTACATCCAAACTTGCGCACATCTCAGAGTATTTTTCTTTTAGTTTCACACACGAACAGCATCTAGGCAGAGCACAAGACTCTTGGATTGCAACCTTTTGTCCTGAAAACGCTCCAACTGCCGTTGCATTATCTTCCGGCATGCAGTGCTTACAGACAAGAAATCAGGAATTGATTTGATTTTTTTTTTCCAGGATGCTAATAGAATTTTTTTGTGTGTGTTTATTTCAAAATGCTTTCCAGGTTGTGTCTATGGAGTGGGCAGAATTGGTCAGAAGAATACGTTTTGATGGAAGGAATTATATTAGAGATTGCTAATAGAAAAGAACTTCTATCGAGGGACACATGTACAGGTCACTATGATGCTGAAGAGAACAGACCCAGGGAAAGGAGTCTGGTGGAGTTGAAACGGCAGGACCTTTACATTCAGATGATTACAGGCGTAGGACGAGTGAGGAACATGGTGGGTGTTTGACTAACATGTCAGTGAGGCCTGAATTGCAGGCACATCGTGCTGACAACGGGGCTCACATATTGTGCAAATGACATTTTAATGAGGGAAACCCACATGCAAATGAAAGACATTAGAATTAGACGGCGAACGGCACCTATCTAGTTAGTTCCACCTTTGGGGAGGATTCGAGGATGTGGTAAATGTACTGGGCCACAGGCCCAAGTGAAGCTTTGTGAGAAATAACTGGGATCCTATGCAGAAGGCCAGGATGAGCACGGATGGCCAGGGCTCCCGGAATCTCACACACATTCCATTCCTCCTGCCCACCTGGGCGGGATGGGTGGAGATGATAAATTGTGTACCTGTGACGACGCCGTCTCTCTTCCTCCAGCCACGGGTGACACTGCCTGGAAGGACACTTGTACAGGGACATGGCAAAGTACCCTCTCCTGTGGCCTGCGACCAGAGCCACGCTGCTAATGGGGCTCCTCTCCCTGCCCCTGCTAATATCCAGGAGGGGTGGGCCACTGGGAGCTTAGATGAAGGACAGGAGTGCAGTGAGAGTATCCAGGAGTATCTTTTCATTTTCCTACAATTACATGAGCCCTTTCAATCTACTACCTATCAAATTTAAATAAAACATTCTATTTAGAAGCCTTTTCACATGACCAGGTCCAGACGTGCCCATTTTCAGTTACTCCCTGCGCATATGAGTTTCTATTTGGTATCACTACACAAGCTACTCCGGGCCTCTGGGTGAGAAACGACCAATGCTCCATGCTCCAATCCTCATCTTCTTGCTGCCAGCTGGGGGCTGAACTGTCCTTCACACCAATAAAAATGAATAGCTCACGATTCTCAGGTTGCTGGAAATGTGAAAGAGAATACCTTGTCTTCATCTCTCCTGGCCCAGGAATATCTAAGTGTTAACTCCAGGGGCACCTGGGGGCCATCCCTGTCCTCTGGGCGCTGTGCTCTCCTTCCCTCTCAGAGGAAGAGGTGCTCCAGACCTTGCACCAGTACCCACGACAGCATGATGCAGTCACTATCCAAAGACAGCCTGTGCCCAGGGTCTGCCCGGCCTGGATATGCGCATCAGCAGATTTGGTTGTGCCAGAGGGAAAGGCGCGAGGGATTTTGTGGCCTCAGCCCATCTCTACCTACCCCAGACCTACACCATGATTGCTAGAAGTCCCTCTCTTAGGAATTCACCCCCTCAGCTACAGGGCACAGATCCCTGGGAGGACTCAGATGTTCATCTGTTGGCTCTAAGCAGGGAAGACGGTTCAGTCACATTATGAACCTTGGGGAGCAGAGCCCTAACAGGGGTGCACACTGAGGGCAAAGAAGAAAGGAAGGAGGTCAGTCCAGAAGCACAGGCCCTGGCCAAGGAAAATGGCAAGTCCAGCTGGGAAGTAGGTACAGGAAACAGTGTGGGAGCTCTGGGCCACAGATGTCCATACTCTGGGTGCTGACAAAGGAGGAGGCATCATAAGGCCAAAGGATCTGGACATAGTGGTGGCGGTGGGCAACTCAGGGTGCCCACCGGATGTCTTACCTGGCCCACTTCCAAAAGGGGTGTGGACTACAAGGAACTTTCTCTTGGGGAGGTTCAACATCTGTTAGCGTCTACCTCATGGGCCCAAGCAGAGCCCTAATCAATCAACCCAAAGTGGCTTGGGGCTGCACTGAGCTCTTCCGTCTGGCTGGTTGACAAAGCTGTGCATGGCACTATCAGGCTTGACCCGAGACATCAATTTTGTAGGAAGCAATCAGCACTGGCCTCCGCGCTCATATGTCCTTGGGATGGAAAGGCTAACAGTTTTCCAAGGGGCTGGGCCGCCTCTATGCAGGCTCAGCAACAGGGCAGAGGCCTGGCTCACGCCACTGGTGGAGAACAAACTCTGAGCAGCCTGGGAAGGGCTGAGAAGAGGCAGGGGATGAAGGTGGAGATGGCAATGGGCCCAGACCAGATGCAGCGTGGAAGCCTAGGGGCGACACAGAAACCAGAACCAGGCTCCCAGCTCTCACGTGCCACTTTACCATAGAACCACTCGGAAGAGATGTGTGTCCCGGAGGCTATGATGCAACAGTCCACTCCCGAGGGCTTCGGTCTCCTGTCTCCGGGACAAGGTCAGTCCTATTCTGAGGATGGGGAGAAAAAGGAGGAAAACGCTCCTGGTGTTGGGGCCTGCAGGCATGATGTATGTCTGGGCTTGTCCCCCAGAATAAGCGGACCCGCCAGAACGAGATCTTCAATAGGATTTGAGTGCAAGTAGTTTAATGAAAGGCAATCCCAGGAAGCACTGGTAGGGGGATGGGGAAGTACGACAGGGAGAGGAAGAACCCAAAAGGAAGACCCTGGTGAGCAGGTGATTGATCCTGGTAATGGACTCGAATGAACTGGGCCCGCACCTCTGAGAGGTGGAGGTGGAGGTGGAACTTACCTCTTGCAGGTGGAAAAGTATGGCCCAGTTGGTGTCATCCATCTACTAAGTCATCGCTGGTTAAAGGTGGTTCCTGGGGATTAGCTTCCTGGCGCTCCTGCCCAGGGGTATACAGTCGCAACTGATGCCTTCAGTGTGTGGGGAACAGTGAGCCAGGGGGTTAGGCTGGGCTGCTGGCCTCTGCTCTGGTGGCCAAGAAATGCTGCATGAAGATATGGTCCCACAGCAAGGGAGGGCTACAGGCTGATGAGCTGGCTTGGGACCAGAGAGGCCAGAACCCTGACTCCCACTGTGATGGTGCCACCAGGCCTGGCTGCCTCCCACCTGTGCAGGCACCCTCCCGCACAGCAGCGACGGCTGGCTCTGACCCCCGCACAACAGCACCATGCATCAGGCTGAGTCACTTCTGAGTTGCCGGTGCCCTGCCTATGATGGTGAGCAGCTGGGCCGGTGGGAACCAGGATCTGCTCCTCCTCTGGCTCCACGTGGCCTCATTCCCCGGGTGTGAGCTGCCAATGAGTGCTCTAGAGCCGCATGCCAGCACAGGGCCAGGGGGCATCCTGCGAGCGGGATGAAGAGATAGCTTCCTGCAATGTCTCACCTGATGATGCAAGATGGCAGTAACCTCCTGACGGCTAATTGCCTAAGGACAGCTACCATCTGTGCCACGGAATAATGAGGTCCCAGAGACCCCAGCGTGCGTGCTCACTCTCTCTCTCTCTCTCTGTTTGGTTATGAGAAGACATAACATAACGAGACTGCAAATTAATGACACAGGCATCCCATTCAGCTCCCAATAATTTCTCTTTTGTTGTTAACTGTACAGTTGTGAGATCTGGCCATTAAGTCATTAGAATGAAAGACTTCTAAATAGATCCACGCTTGCATGGAGTCTGATCTATTTTTATTGAATCTCTTCTTCTGCATCTTTTCTTGAGATGTGATGTTGATTTTTTAAATCTACTTCTATTTATCAAGATTAAAGAAAAAAAAATCCCCATCTATTTTTGACCAGAGTCAATAAAACCGTGTTCAGTAAAACCAATACAATACAGCATGGTGCCATTTTTAAAATTTAGTTTTTAAAACTCCCACAGAGTGATACATCATCTTGAACCTTGGCAGAAATGGGAAGAAAAAAACACAGAGGCATGTGTGCTAAGAACCCCTCAATGTCACAAGACCCTCAAGTTTCCTGTGTTCCCTTTTCTTGAATCAGAGAAGCTCAGTCCGGCTTTCAGAGTCAGCAGGACAACAACCCTTCACTGGGTAGGACGGCATTATCAACTGACCCGACACCAAAGCTCCCCACACTTGATGTACCTTCTATTTCACTTTTTCTGCAGCATACAATTGTATGCATATCTACCTCAAAGCAACAGCAGGTACCTTCATATCTTATTAAATGTGAACAAAGCCTATGAAGTCAAATCTGTACGTGTCTAAAGCACAACTTTCCAGATTCCGTCAATCAGAAAACTGTGAGCTCCAAATGCACCTGCGGAAATGCCACCCCGTTCCACACGGACACTGTTATCCCCACCGTCCCCAGACTCCTCTGAAGAATGTCTTCCGCCCAACACCTTGCGCTCGACAGGTGAGTGGGACGTTCTAATTAAAAATCAAACGCGGGGAGTGGAGTCTGAACGTGGAATTTGAAGGCACTTGAAGTCCAAAAATATCTGATTGTTCCTACGGAGATTTTCCCAGGCGCAAGAAACTGATACGGGGAGCTCAAGTCTTCTAACTGCTGTGAAGAAGAAATTCCAACATTTCAGGGTTCCCATCTGGGTAAAGAGAAACCCAGATGTTCTCAACTTCGAAACCCGAGCCGAGCCGTGTCCTCACGCTTTCTCGCGCTGAGGCGACTGGAGTTGGGAGCTCCCTGTCCCCTCCCCTAGTGAGTCTGCTCCCATGGCTGGGCAGATGGCTAACCTTCAGACTCCTCCGCTGGGTGGGGAACACTAGGCCTCTGCCACAGAGTTTTCAGATAGTCTCTGGGCTGGGCGTGGCTCTCTGCCTGCGGTGGGTGGGAGATTCTCAGGCTCTTAACTAAAAATTCTAGACCAGCCCTCGTGGGGTCAGCCTGATGTTCTCGGGGGTGGGGCAGACTTGCCAGTCCCTGGAATCCCTGGGAGATCAGGCCCTGTAGCGTCTAGGAGGTCCCGTTTCCATCCCTCTCCACGCACCATATTTGAACTCAATTTTGCTGCCTTCGGCCACCCTCACCTCCAACCCCACCCCACGGCACACCAGGCCTTGTCTGGCCTAGACTTCTGCACACACCATTTTCTCTGTTCAAAATGCTTCCCCGACGCCCTTGCCTTAGAGCCAGCTGGCTTTCATCTCTGAGACACTTTCCAAGCCTCCATTTGGGAGGGCCGCCTGCAGCAGCTCCCCTTTTCCTCCCAGCTCCTGGACTGGGCTGCAGTTGGTGCTCAGCGTCAGAGCAGAGCACGTGGAGGGGGCAGCCACGCCCAGATTGTGCCAGCTATACCCTGGCTTCTTCAGTGCTTGGGTCACGCCAGGTACTGGATGCATGTTTGTTAAATGACCAAAGAACTGAAAGGAAGGGAGAAGGGAAAAGAGAAATGTATGTACAGACAGATAGGTAGGTGCTGCACTCTGTCCCACACACATTATGCTCAGCCTCAGTTTCCCTTCTGCTCCACGTAAGATAATCGAAGTTCTATGCTATGCCCTTTTATTTCCTCCCTCTTGCTAGGACCATGTTTCCCCCATGGTGGTCCTGTCCAGGCCTGGGGCAGTCACGGATTGCAGCAGCTACTTCATCCTGGCTCTCTCACCCTTGGTCCCATGTGGTTCACGAGCTCTCAGGGGCTGGGCAGAGGATGAAGGTGAAGTAGGGCTCCTGCGGCACACGGGGTGGGCTTATCCTCGGAGTGACGAGCTCTTTCTGCAATACATGGCCCTTGTTAGTGCTGGCCTCGTGGAGCAAGGGAATGGCGCAAATGCATGGGAGGCGAGTGGCCCCTCACCTGCTCCACGGAGCTCCCAGCATCCTCCTTCCTGCCCGTTTCTGAGGCCCAGGGAGGGGTACGGTGCTAGCTGCCTCTACCCCATTCAACCCCCAGGGCCCCAGAATATTGCCATTCTGGGCAGAGCCCAGGGCAGAGCCATGGAGAGGGAGAGGTGGAGGCGTCTGAGCAGGGCCCGGAGGCCACATTCGAAAACACAGGCTCCAACACACAGCCCTCTCACAGGGCGAGGCCTGGGGACCCAGCCCCCCAGACCCTTTCCAGCATCATCACATTGACGTGCAGGGCAGGTTTGCTCTCTTTCGGCATGGGACACACTATCTACCTTTAAAAATCAGAGGAGTGGAGGGGGCAGCTGCCAGCTCAGAAGGCCTTGCTGATGTGGGTCCTCCCAGGCTGGCCTGGGGGACGGGGCTGGGGCATGACTACGGTATCAGATCACTGCTCGGGCAGTGTGGGCCGTGGACACAGGTCTAGCCTCGGTGGGTCCCCTGCTGGTCTGCTGCCCCAGTGGGCTGGCTGCAGTCCTGGAGTGCGCTGTCTCAGCCGGGTCCGCGTGTCCAGGGTCTCCTAGGCACACTTGAGGGGCAAAGTGCATCTCCGAGGGGCCAGCTGGGCTGACCTGGGGGCCGCTACAATACCAGCTGATGGCAGCCTGACCCTCCGGGTACAGGCTGGGCTGGGTGCCTCGGTATGTGCCACACTCACTGGGCATCAGCGAGGGACTTTCTTCCCGAGGGGTAAGCCCTCTGGGGTCCCCCCAGGTCTGTGGGTCTGCCTATCAGAGCTGTGGAAATATTTAAACAGAAGGAAATTCTCGGGGATTATTGAATTGAGCTCTGAATTTATGTTTGAATTTTAAAGAAGGAGAAAAAGACAGTCCTCTTTAAACAACTTCTAGGAAAGGTTACAAAACACAGATAATTTACATGTGGGAGCAGATGGCAGGCTGGGTACTGTTCTAGGCAAACCATGTGTCCCCCCAGCAGTTCTTTTTAATGGATGCTACAAGTTTATACGTGGTTCATAAACTCAAGGGCTGGTGATTTCCCTGACTGATTGACTAAGGTATAAAAATGATGAGTCATGACCCTCATTTCTCCCGGGGAGACTCTTCTCAGAGCCATCTCTCTTCAGGGACTACTCAAAGCAGCTTGAGCCCCATCAAGCCCTGTGTCCAAAGGCAACGTCTGGCGGGTGCCCACTCCAGAATTCTGCCCCTGAACAAGCTGACCCTCGTACCTGAGGCTCTGAATCCATGTGTCCGGAGCCCAGGCCCCTCCTTGGCAGGTGAGAATCCTGGAGCTGGTCCTCTCTGGGCAGGCTCTGTCCCACAGTCCAAACTTATGCCAAAGGCCTTCACCCAAGGTTTCCATTTGGCTCCCAAGAGACATGCCACTGTTGGGCCTGGCCCTGCTCCTCACCAGCCGTGTGGCTCAGTACATCCTGTCCCTTCTCTCAGCCTTAGTTTCAGGGACTCAGCCCACTCATAGTGCCTTTGTGTAGCAAGCTGGGGGCACCGGGGAGAAAGCAATACACAGAGGTTGGGGAGGACAGAGGGCTTGTACAGAAGTATCATTTCCTTTTCACTTGCCAGGAGCCTGGGGCACTGTCCACTCTGGGCTCCTCTGCCAGTGCCCTGGAGTCACTCAGGCGCCGTGACTTCCTGTTGGTGGCAGAGGTGTGACAGCTGACGTGTGTGATGCAGTGTGCTGGCCTCCCATGTGACAGCACAGCACTGCCAGCCCATGTTACAGTTCAGGAAACTGAGGCACAGAGTGAGGAAGTAACTTGCCCAAGGCCCTGCATGGCTAGGGGCTAGGCTTCCAGCCCTGGTCACGTAGCCCCCAGGTCTGCCCTTAAAAGCCACTCTGCCATTCTGCCTCTTCTGAGGGCAGATCTTTTTTCTGATATGTGAAAACAGTACATAGTGCATGTCCCAAAATGTTCAAACCCCATGCTTGATGGACATATCCTGGCTGGCAGTAGGGGCAGAACAATATGCTTGGTCACATCCAGGGACAGATTCCTACCATTCAAATTCTATAAAGTGCACAGAGCACACAATGAGCAACCATGTATGCGGGATTATTATTTTTAAAACACCATTTTAGTGTGAGCTACATAATCTCAGCATCCTAGGGGAAATTTCCTAATTTTTCAGCAGGGCTTTTCTTTATTTCTTTCTTGGAACAGATGGCAAGATTTTTATCTCAACTTCAGTGAGCAAACTGTTATTGCTACTCTTTGGTGCGTGTGTGGGTAAATCATGTTTCACATACTAGCATGGAAGTAGCTGTGTGCAGTCAGTTGCTCACACTGGAGATGCGCGAAGACACTTTGAATTAAGTGCCTTGAGGAAACAGCGCTCATAAAGTAGTGAGAAGACAGCACTTCACTCATTTGCCCCTGCTGAAGCCATATGCCGCTTCCCTCCCCAGAGCTGCCCCTCCGGATGGTTTCTGTTGGCTCTGTTGGCAAAGCCATGGCTTCCAGCCTTTTCTCTACACCATCTGCCTTCCACAGGCCTGGCCACCTTCCTTAGTGACCCAGGAGCTCACAGGGCCCAGCACCTCCTGGTCGGAGAGGAGAAGCATCCAGGGCTGCTGCCAGGTCCTCCCCAGATGTCACTCAAGCCCGGGTGGCTTGCTAGTGCGTTCATGCTCAGGGCTTCCTGGGGGTTATGTCCGGGCACACGGAGTGAAGGGGTAGTAACAGCAAATGCCAGTTAGGGAACACTGGGGTGCTCACAGCCATCCAAGCTCCGATTTCTGTCGGTTTCCTTACTATAACATCTTGGGGAGCAGATCAGCACTCCTACTTTAGAGGCAGAAGAGTGACAGCACAAGGACAGCTCCCAGTCACACAGGGTGGCTAGGGCTCTGAACGTCGTCGTGGTCGTCTGGTGCATGAACCTGTCAGGTGCTCCTGGCACAATGAGGTTAGGCCCCAAAGACAATGAGACAAATTTAAATTCAGATTCCCAGATCCAAGGCTCCTTTTAAGTCACGGCTGTTGCCACCAGTGTTTCAGGTAGTCAACTGACTAATTCACACCCAGATGTTTAATGGCTGGGGAGGTAATTCAGACAATGGGTTACCAGGTTTTCCTTCCCAGATAGATCCCTTTAGAGACCCGGGAAAGAGGTTAGTGCAACACCCAGCGCTGCAGAGCTGGCAGAAGTAAGTAAAACCACTGCCAAACTGCCCGGGATGCATGGGCTTCTTAAAGGCCCAAAAAGTGGACTAGGGATGGGGCAGGAGACTAGAGCCAGGGGCTGTGACCCAGTAAAGCAATGGGGAGTGATCAGTGCACAGGGACAAGTGGGAAAGAGCATCTCAGAGGACCAGGTAGCGAGAGAGCCCAAGGCGGGTTTAGGGGTCAGCCTTTCCAGCTGGGGAGCTGAGCACTTCAAGCTCCACAGTGGTAGCTCCTCTGAAGTCTTTCTCAGATGGCCCACTTTCCCCCTGGGCCTCTCTCCTTCTGTCCCCTCCTCCACCATCACCACGCAATTCATTTTTCCTGCAGCTGTTGTAAGCATTGGCAGATTCAGGAAATTCAAAGAATGTGAAACAGAAGGCAAACTGGACTTTATGCTGAGTAAAAGGAATCCATGGCAGTTGCTCCTCGTCCCTGCCCCTGGGATTCCACCAGGCCTTTACTGGGGACATATTCTGGTCACTTGTTCTAGCTGAAGTTATAATCCAGGCTCCTTTTTCTGGGTTTAGTTCAAGTTTGATTCAAATACATGCAAGGGATACTGTGTTTGGCAGCCACTATATGAGTGGCTTTGGAACACCAACTGATCAGCTGCCTTTGAAAGAAGAATTCTTTCTGCTAAGAGCTCTATCCACCTTCTCCACCAAACACGAATGCCAGCCTTTCCTGTACTTCTATGCCATAGTGGGAAAGAACCCAGGATGCAAACCTATGACCACCACACCAGTTTCTATCCAAAAACCTTTCACAGCAGACAAGCTGTAAGATTCATCTACTTTATGATACGCAGCATGGACATTCCCAAGGGAAGGCAGTAGGCAATTCAACTGAGGTTGACCCCTCGGAGCTTAGAGTAGAGGCTCCTCAGGCGCTCAGAACACAGCCAGGCTTGGGACTTAATGACTGGAGCAGCCTGTGGGCTCCAGCCACCCCTTCCTCTTAGCCATCTGTGCGCAAAGAGCACTCACAGCCCGCAGGGCCCAGGAGAGTGCCGAGGACCATCAGCAGTCTTGTCTATCTTCCATAATTCAGGAGAATCAGGGTTTAAAAAAGTGCACGCGCAATAGACATAATTTACATGCTGCAAGAGGATGAGCTGGCATCTCCTCACATCGTCAAGTTTAAATAACAGTGGTTTCACACCACATGTAAGTGCAGCTGTCCTGAGCGGAGCAACATTAGCTCCATTACGACAGGAGGTGGTGCTTTTTCCAGCTCAGCCTCCCCAAGAAAACATCACACCTGCCATCTTGGCACCACCACAGCTGACTCGATGCAGGAGTCTGCAGGCCCCTTTCAGATCAAATGCATCAAGCTGGGCATTCACGGTCAAGGGGTGCGCAGGGCTGCAAGAAATGGGAAGAGAATGAGGTGATGCCAGTGCTGAGTGCACACTGGACCAGCCCCAGACTCCAGGTGTTCGCAGGTACAAGCTGTTCACACTAGAGGAAGCATTCAGAGAGTGGATGGAGAGACTGGCACAAAAGGACTGAGGGGTGGGGGAATGTGGGGGTTGAGCTCAGGCCTGAGCAACTTGGAAGAGAACCCCCTCTCCAGTATGGCCAAGTCCCTCAAGGACAAGTCCCACTAACTTAGGCAGGGCCTGTGCACTTTAATTAGTTCCACTTACACTGGCTGATGGTCAGTGTTTCTGTCTCAGTTAAGAAACCTCTTGCAGGCCTCATGTACACAATGGGAAGCTTTGAGAATGTCAGTAGCAACCAGAAGCCAGCAGGGAGGAAACAGCAGAAACACAGGTATGGCCCAGAGCCACCAGCTCCTTTATACCAGGGCTCGGCCAGGATCTTTGAAGCACTTTGTTGAGTATGGAGCAGACTGATCTCACAGAGGAGAAACTGAGGTCCAGAGAGCTGAAAAGGCTCCTCCAAGGCCCCCGGGGCAATCCAGAAGGAACTAGAACTGGTTAGTCATGTAGAAAGTTTGGTCTTTTCTGTTTTTTTTCCCCAGTGAACTTGCTGTAACTTTCCACAGAGATGACAGAGTTATGAGCACCAACATGGCTATTGCTAAGGAGAAAAGCATCTATCTGTCCTTGCAACTGTGCCCCGTGTTACATCTGCAGATGCAGACATAAAAGTCTTCTTTTCCTACAAGAGCACAGGTCTGGCTGGGGACGCAGATGTTTAGAGCAACTTCCACTCAGTGGGCTACTGGAGCACAGAGTATGGAGCCCCTCTGACCTTGTGGAGGAGTGGGCGATGGTCAGGAAGGTCAAAGGAAGCCCCCGATGGCACTCCAAGTGCCAAGGTCCAGACCCACATCTCACCAGCCTTGCTGGGAGCCCTGGTACCCACCTGGGTGACCTGGTTGGGGGGCATGCATGCTGTCCGTGTGTACACACACGGGGACCAAGGGGATGGCCGGGCTGTAGGAGCTGAGAACCGACCCTCACAGACTGGCGCCTATTAGGAGATTGAGAGGGGACAATGCACTGGGACCCATTCCTCTGAGAAACATAAAAATGCCAGCTCACTCTGGATGTCACTCGTGCCTATCTGATTCCCCAGGGAAAAGAAACTTGTCTAAGAAGATACAGGCTGTGTGTGTTGCATCATCCTTTGCTCATCTCTCTCAAGTACCAAGCCAAAGAATTGAATTTTTTAAAAGATGACAAAGGTATTTGTGTTGCACTGAGCCACAGGAGAAAAACAACACAGGAATACTTAGCAGGATCTGCAGCCCAGGGAAATTTTCTTGAGCTAAAAGATTTCTGTGCAAGCAATTTCTATAGACATTTCTTATTTAAATGGAAATTCTTTCTGAAAGACTAACAACAATAGCTAACACATCCAGTCCTTTACTAAGTGCTGGGAACTGAAATGTTTGTGTGCATTAACTCGTTTAATCTCACAACTACCTGTCTGATAAGGTAGGTCTACTTTATAGATGAAGGAATTTAGGCTTAGAGAGGTTATGCAATTAATCCAACACCACTCAGCTTGTAAGTAGAAAAGTTAGGATTTGAACCCAGGTACTATGGCTCCAGAATCCATTATCTGATCCAGGAATGTTCTATGAATGCTAAAATACTAGAAAGCATTGGATTAAGAATTCCTTATAGTGGCCCGGGGATTTAGCTCAGTGGTTCCGGCACCTGCCTCTCAAGTGCAAGGTCCTGAGTTCGATCCCGGGCACAAAAAAAAAAAAAAAAAAAAAAAAGAATTCCTTATAGACCCAATGTTCTTCACAGCTGGTTTGGAAGGATTCCTCTAGGTGATTTTAACAAACTCTGACATAGTCATGGTGGTCTAGCTCAGAAGAATTCTGAGAGGGCTTTTATAACAGGGAAGAACGTAAGCACCATACTGCTCCAAGCCTCCTGAGTCCTTCTGTCAGGCAAGGAAAGGCTATGCTGTCTTTCAGTGGGAAAGCAGGGGCTGTATGTAGGTAGCCCCAATAGACACTCTTCGAGGGGTCCCCAGTTAGCTTAGTGGGGTATGCTGGTGCTATTTCTGCCCTGAGGTGCCACACACGATACAGCTGTGCAGGCTCCAAATCATATCTGAGGTGGTTAAAGTAGAGCTTCAACTTGATTGGCTTTAGAATCCCTGGGGATTGGTGGAGCACATTTCTAGGTATGTCTGGGTGGGGCATGGAGGTGTGGCCTTAGAGTCTATGTCTGGTCCCTGACCCCTTCCTCTCCGGTACTCTTTCCCTGCTCTGCTTCCTGGCTGTCATGAGCTAAGCAACTTTGCTCTGCCACATCCTTCTGCCACGATATCTCTACCTTGGAGCCAGCTTACCATGGACTGAAACCGTGAGCCAATTAAACCTCACTTCCTTTAAGTTGTGTTTGTTGGGTATTATGTCTCAGCAATGAGAAAGCTGACTAATGCAGAAAATTGGTACCAGAGAAATGGGATCACTGTTCTAACTATACCTGACCATGTAGTATAGATTTTAAAACTGGTTTGTGGGAGAAGATCACAAAGGTTTAGAGAAGTGGGCTAGAGAAGCTCTAAAATGCTGCAAAGAGAGGCTGATGGGTGATTCTGGTCAGCACGGAGAAGAGCAGAATGCAGACAGGAATGCAGACAGTAAAGACCTGGCACCGAAGGTTTAAGTTGGGAACAAGGACTCCATTGACAGTTGGACTACAGGCCATGTGTGTTACATTGTGGCAAATATTTTGTTTACATTTTACCCATGTCCTGAAACTTCATGGGAGACCAAGATTTCGTGCAGTGGACTATAATTATCTGGAGGGGGAAATTTCAAGACCTAACACAGGCTGTGGCATGGGCACTGCTGACTGCTTCTAGCTAGATTCATAGTGAGAATCAGTGGCAAAAGGCAGAATAGAAAAAATTGAAAGCCTTAAATTTTAGTCTAGAAGGAACCATGTGTAAATTTGAGGCCAAAGAAAGTGTGGCTAGTAAAGAGACTGGTGCTATTAAATAGAAACTGAGTACTTTGTACAGAAACAAGGAGAAAGATGCCTCGAGGGCATTTCAGGAATCTGCAAGACCCCACCCATAGCAGGCTCAAGACTACAAAGACGAAAGTCCCTGGGATCCCTGCTGGAGAAGGGCCTCCTAGAGAACTGGTTCCCTGGAATTCATTTCACCATGCTCAACCACCCAGGCATTCAGAGGTCAATGTTTCTATCTCAGGCCAAGGGGTCCTGGCTACTGTGTCTTCTGACACCAGAACTTGGCTTCATGGCATGCAAAATGGAAGAGTTGTAAGGTGAGGAAAGCTTTACTCAGATTTCAAAGGAAGGCCTCTTAAGCCAGGCAAGGAGGCCTGAAAGAATAGTGCACGAAACTGTGGGAATGAAGCCAAAGGCATAATGAAAACCTCAGGAAGTCAGAGATGCCAGAAATGTGGAACATCAGCTGAGGAAAGCTACAGGCCATGAGTGAAGGCTGCACAAGAGAGAGGGCTTGTGGATTGCAACTGGAAAGGTCCTACAGGTGGGATCAACCATGCCTTTTGGAACTATTTTATCACCATGTGCTATGGATGCTGGACACAGAGCTACCCGATTTAATATTTGCCCTCCTGGTTTTTGATATTGTGTTAGTCTGATTCTTTTCTATCCCCCTATTCCTCCCTTTTGGGATATAGATATTTGCCCTGTGCCATTGTACCTTGGGATTATGTAATTGGTTTTTGTTTGTGTTTTATAGAGGTTCATAGCTAAGAGCTTGCCTTGAGTCTCAGAAGTGAGTTGGACTTGGATATTTGAAAAATGCTGACACTTTGGGGAAGGGATCATTGCATTTTTTGGTGTACACAGGATAATGTATTCTATTTGGTAGAATTATGAACTTGCTATTGTCTTCATTTGGAGCTTAAGTATGGCTTAAGGAGATGTATTTGGGCAGCAAGTTGAAAAGAGGTGGGATGTGGCAGTTAGGATGCTGCTGCATTGCTTTGTTCCATCACTCCTTTCTGCCATGATGTCTCTCCTTTGGAGCCAGCTAACATGGACTTATATTGACCAAATCAAGCCTCTCCTCCTTTAAGAGTAGGTGTTGGGCATTATATCTTAGCAATGGGAAAACTGACTAATACAATATCCAAAAGACAGGTGTGATGGTAACAGTTCTTTCTGGCAGAATCACTCTGTGTTGTGTCTCACTTAGTCTCTCAGTCTTCCCAACAACCTGACAAGGCAACTGAGGCTCAGCGATAACATGACTTGATAGAGGTTATACAAATAATTCGTCATGAACTTGGATTCGATACCAGTCTCTAGGATCTTGTTGGAGCACACACGCATTCAGAGATGAATAAACAAATGAATATATCCAGACCCAAGTCCAGGGCTCTTCTCGGTGTGCTCTATTGCATCCCCTATGCCACTCTTCTTCTACACCCAATGACACCCAGGAAGTGAGAAGACCAGACCTGGAAATGCAAGTCTCTCTCTTTCCTACAGGCCTTATTCATGAAAAGGGACTGGAGATGAGGAGACTTACTGACACCACCTTAAGTCTGTAGTTCATCACCCTCCCCATCGTCTCCCTGTGAAAGTACAGTGGGACTTCAGTTTTGAACTTAATTTGTTTTATTTTGGGAAAGATGGCTGCATTTGTGTTTATGTGGGTGTGGTCACGTTTGTCACCTGCTGCAGTTTTCAAATGGAAGCAAAATCTTGTCAAATGCTTTTGTTTGTGAATTGAATTGTTTGAATGTTCTCACTCCTAGACAATGGAACATGTCCCTGGGAGCAGCCTTGCCTTGCACTTCAGCAGGGAGGCTTCACAAAGGGGCTATAGTACCTCCTCTGTGCTATCTCAAGACAAGGCCCTATTCTTGCCCCCGGGTCAGATCTTGGGGCTGACAGTGACTCTTGCCCAGCCAAGGCTGCCAAGATGGGGAAGGAGATGGAAGAGAAGGCAAGCCAGCTTTTCCAAAAGCTGCCAGCTGGAGTGCATGGCTAAGGGCCACAGCTCATGCCAGACGAGGGCAGCTGATCCCCCTGGGGATCCCCCATGCAGGACACAGGCTCTGTGTGACTGTAGGTTCATTTTATGACTTCCCAGGAAGAGGATGGCAGGTGGAGCAGATGGAGTTCATGGAGGGCCAGTGGCCTGAAGCATGGCTTTAAGTTCTGAGACCCATTGCAATATTTTTATGTTTCATGAGAAGTGAAAATGGCTAAGACTGGTAAGGAAGAGGCATACCAGCAACACAGCAGCTGTCAGAAGAAACCCATAAACCATTCTTGGCAATATAAATATCACGTTTCTTCCTCAATCAGTGAGTTTTAATGTATTTATCTAGCTGAGCCATGATGGATACAGTCTGCCCAAATATATTACATGGGGATAACACAATCTCTTATCCAGAAACCCACCATATTATAGATACTATCAAGACACTTTCTCAAAAGTGTTTCGTACCCTAGCAACCAAAGAAAAAGGGGGGGGGGAAGCAACAACAACTAAGGCATAAAAATTACATTGCATCTGCAATACTTTGTTGAAATTGGTTTTGCAATAAACCATGTATTGTAAAAACAAAGGTTTAATGATATATGTTTGGTGGAAATCTGATTACAAAGCAAAAACACATACATCTAAGTAAAGTTGCAGAGCTTTTAAAAATGAAACTTGGCAAGAAAGCCCAGGACAGGCTCTGTCTGTAAGGGTGCTGGGAGTGTGGCTTTGTTCCTAGTGTGTGGGGGGTCTACATGGAAGAAACCCCTTCCACCCCACACAACTCTAGCCTCTGTTGAGAAACTGAGCTGTCAGCAGGAATTGCTGGAGCTCAGAAGCTTACCGAGATGGCAGATGGCTGCCTGCACACGTGAGCCATTTACCAAGAAGTTAAAACGTGGCCATCCCAGAAGGTGGCCTTTCCCTCACTACCTGGGGATTCTGGGGGATTCCTGAGGCAGCCCAAGTACAAGCCACAGTGACCATGATACTAGGTTCTCAGCAACCACACAATCTCCGATGACCTGGGGTTAGGGCTTGTATCTAGATATCCCCCAAAGCCTCATGCAGTCATAGGCGGGGCTTTTTGGAGGTGGCTGAATCTAGGGTGTGTGATGCTGGGATTAAGGGTGCCCCACTCTGAGTGTGAGTGCTACCCACCCAAAGGGTGAGAAACCTGGATGGAATATAAAAGACAGAAAGAGGGGTGGTTTGCTGGTTGCTGCTTTCCTGTCTCCTATCTGCTTGCCATGGACTGTTTCTTCTCTGTGATGCCCCTCTGCCATGCCACCCTGCTTTGCAGCTAGCTGACTATGGAGTGAAACCTCTACAAAATGAGCCAAAATAAACTTTACCTCTGTTAGCTTGTAGGTTTCAGGTACTTTGGCCCAGCAACAAGAAAAGTAACCAAGACACCTGAAATTTGGCTGTTCTGAATCCCACCCAAGACTACCTGTCACTGGCTGGGATGTGAAGGTCTTTGTTCTTTTTGGTGGGTGTGGGGGACCCTCAGTAGCCAGAGTGGGCTGCGACAGCTGAGCCCCTTAGATGTGAAAGCTGCCAGACCACTCTCCTCTGTCCTCTGTCTCCTTTCCTAACTACACTCTGAGTTCTCCTGTTTTCCCTTGATTCCTCCTCATCTGTGACAGCACAGATGAACCTGGAAGATGTGA